GACAGCTATATGCTATAGTCATCCGATCTGAACAATTTTTACCGATATTGAGTTATTGTCTTGGAAATTATTTATGCCATGTCGTGAAGATAACTCGTCAAATGAAAAAGTTTTCCATACAAGCACTTGATTCCAATCGTTCAGTTTGTATGACAGCTATATGCTATAGTTGTGCGATATTGCCGGTTCCAAAAAATTAGCAGCTTCTTGAAGAGAAAAGAATGTGTGAAAAATTTCATAACGATATCTCAAAAACTGAGTGACTAAATCGCGTATGTACTGACGGATATGGCTAAATCGACTTAAGTTGTCATACTGATCATTTATATATTATATATATTATATTGTACATACATTTAAATATATATATACATACATATATATATTATATATATATATACATATATATATTATATCTATATATATATATATATTGTATAGGGTCTCCGACGTTTTCTTCTAAGTGCTACGAGTTTTGTGGCAAACTTCATAGACATAACCTGTTCAGAGCATAAATATTGGCACTAACTTTTTCAGTCGGCAATTTCCATTAGGGTAGCCCAATTTAATTTTTCTTACTCTTAATGTCAATGTTATGAGATATACATTCTTCTCGTGATTTTTTTTTTTTTTTTTTGGTGATGAGCTACTTGTGTGAAAATGCTTATTATTACACATACATACATACATACATAGGCGCATATGAATGCACTTGCAACAAATGTAAATAGGTATATGGTTATGCTTATGATATTACTGTAGATATTGAAATGAAGTTTGTTTATTTTGTAGCATTTGCTTGATTTAATAGAGCAAGCAGGCATATGTACATATATTGTACATATTCATATATACATACATACATAAGTATATACATATCAGATGTAAGCAAATGCATAAAAATCATCTGATTGAACAAAATAATTTTTTGCAATAACATTTTCTCTCGAGAAATACATATAAAAATATAAAAACTATGAAATCATGCATGAATATATTTTGCTAGTGCTGCCCATTGACCTATTTCCTCCCAAATATGCTTGTGTAACTGCTTGCCCATTTATGAAAATTTTCAATTAATTATTTCGATAATTTTCAAGTTGTTTACGAGTGTTCTGCAAACACTTAGATATTTTTTTTTTATTCGATTACAGTTTGATGTTGTCGTAACTTGAATATGGCAGTAAAGTTGCGATAAACGACAAAATCAAGCAGTCAATTCCGTAATATCGAAATAGTTAAAGGCCAAGTAGCAGCGGACAGTCGTCAATTTATTGCGATAAATAATTAATGTATACTTTTTAATATTTTTTAGGAGCAGTTTATGGTAATTTTTAATAAAATTCTAAACGATTTCTAAATTAAATTAATTTTTTATTTACAATTTAATTTATTTTCATATATATGGCAATTTCTTTTTTGCACAAATATTTTAAATTTAACAGAATAATTAAAAAAACTTTCTGTGCAACATACTTCTTGCACAACTGTGAATAACTGTTTTACAAAACTCTAGGTTAAAAAATATGGAGAATAATTTTATTACTTATTTTTAGGTATTTCAATATGTTAACGCTTCTTCGTTAGTACTCCTAGTGACAGCAATATAATTGCTCATATAATTATCAGCCAATTAATATTAGTCACCATTTAGTTTACATTCTATTTATAGTAATATTCTTTGTGACTATAAAAAAAATAACAATCGAGTTTAAATTTAACAATATTGACTCATTATGCGAGTAATGCGAGTAATGCGCTTTACAATTAGTTTCCTAAATGCAAGCATTTTATTTGAGAAAAAACTGAAGCTAAACTAGCAACGCTAAATTTATCAATTTTCAAATATATCAGGCTAATATGAATTGTTTCTTTGACCAAAGTATGCTTAAGAGTTACTAAGACGAGCTAACAGCATTATTCAAGCTGTTCTGATATCTGATATGTACATACATATATATAATATTATATGTTTGCTTATACCAAAACTCAGGGTACAATAGAATTCAGCAAAAATATATTCAGCATTATTATCATAATTTTCGTTGTCGTTTCATTAATTTGTTTGATAAATATATGTATGTAAAGACCAATCTGAAGGCTTTTGTTTCAATTACTATTTATTTAGCTATCAATTCTTGTTACCGCTGCGTTCATAAATAATAGCACTAATGGTGCATACAACGAAAAAACCAGTTAGAAAGCTGAGATGTTTGAATATTACAAAAAGCTTTCAAATCAAAAGAATCAAAGCTTGCCAGACATTATTTTATACAAAAGCTTCAATATTTTTTTATGAAAGCTCTAGTAATGCAATCGCGCAAGCATGTGTAGTACCCCTGTTAATATATCAGCTAGCTGTTGAGTAAAGCTTCGATCGCAGCAATTACACAATTAAATTCGTCAGTGTGTAGAAAGAGGTGTATCAACACAAATTTCACAAAAAAAAGTGATGAAATTAATATTGTAGTAATAACTTTGTTTAAGAATAAAATTACATATAAAAATTGTGCAATTCCATTACATGGAAACTTGGATATACGTTGGAACAGTCTAATAATATGCACATTTGATAAAGATTATGGAAATTCCACGCTGCAAAGTGTGAACGAAAGTAAGCATACTTATACCTAAATGCTAATTAATCAGCACAGTCGACTTTTATTCGGTAGTTATCGCGTTAATGACTACTATGACTGCTGGACAGCGGCAGTAATTCCATTCAGCTGTGTGTTTACATGGACTTTTCTTAGATGATTTTTTTCAGAAAATAATTATGAATATTTCACTTTGTGTTTCTCTTTGAGTTAGATATATGTAAATATTAAAAAAAAATATTACTTAATCACTTCCGATTCGTAATGCACCATCGCATGGGCTAACATTGAATACTGCTTGACGCCGAGTGCCTTGATGTCTACACAGGCCTTATGCGGACTGTAAACAGGTAAACCGAAATATATGTAAATAAGCAATCAGCGGCCTGTAGCAAAACAGTTTGACTACAAAATTATTGCACTGCACCAAAAAAAGCAGAAATTATTAGAGATTATTAAAAAACACAATTTTTGTATATTTTGGAAAATAATAATTGAACGCTCCTAAATCAATGGAACATACATGAATGTGATATAACAAAGGATATATATCCACAAAAAATAATAATAATTATTGATAGAAAAACTAGATCAAAAATTTATATGGTTGATAAAACTGTTAAACAATTTGTTTTTGAACAAAAAAGTTTTTTGTTAATTCAAATTATTGAAACAATAACGTATTTAGTTATTATTAGTACTTAATGTACTTTAAATTTTTGAAAAAATTTTTTCTTTGTTTTTATTGGGAACACCATATTTTGAATATTTAAACTAAATGGTTAGTAAATATTAATTATTTTGGTTAAAAAATAATAATTTGAAATTAATTAATTTGTGTATTTTCGACAAGACAAACTAATATTTTGATAAGTACATGCCATAAATTAATGTATAAAAACCGTGTTTAATGGTGCAAAATTTGCCAAACTTACCATAGCATAGAAAATTAAAAAGTCTACAAAGTCTCCAAAATATACAAAAGTCTATCAAATTCAGTAAATATTATCGGGAATGCTTTAGTGAGTTAAACAAAGTGAAAACAGTAGCTTTCGTAACTCTACATATAAGTCTACAAAATCACAAAAACGACAAATTACAAATTTTAAAATGAAATAACTGTCATTAGCACTAAAATCTAAATTTTTTTGACATAAAATGAATATTGTTGTTGGCAAATATTTGGCTCTCTTCATACAATATTGTTTGCCTTTATTTTCTTTTTAAATAAATGAATATTTTCGCTTACCATCTCACAACGACAGTTCAACCACTTTCCGCTCCACTACACCCACATTTTCTGCCACTGGGTTTTTGGTAAATTATGCACCAACTAATTTTTTTGTCTCCCATAGCAATGCAAGTTATCATTGTGCAAGCAATACTTGGCGATTTTCGGAATATCCCCCACTTTGGGGAAGCTTTTCAATTGTTGCACGAGAATGCCAGATGTGCTTGGGTGTGTGTGTGAAAATGCTCATGCCAGACGACATGCCAGAATTCGTAAAGTTCGCGTTATTTATAAATTACCTGATAAAAGCGGCATTGCAGTAACGAAAGCAGTAAAAACAACAAAGAGGTAAATAAACTTTTAAGCGTTCATACATACATATAAAGCCAGGTCTGTATGTAATGTACTCTGAGTACTTGGAAAAAAATTAATAAATTTTAAAAGTGAAAATCCAGATAAATTTCCATACCGCGTTTGATCGGTAAATAAGCATATTTTAACGTGAATGATTATTTGCATTATCTATTGGTATTTACAAGTAATTTTTTAACTATTCTTTAATATAGAGAACAGATGAAAAAACTTGGAATTCTGAAGTTTTTATAAGATATGTTAGCCTATCAGCATTTTATAGAGGTGTTCCACTTGTTGATTTTTTAATTAATAAAGTGTGTTCTACGGTTGTGTCACAATAAAAGAGTTCTAAGTACAGAAACTTTATGTCGGCAGCATACGAAAACAATATGTTTGCTAAGAGCCCGGCATTATCAAACCAACGGACCTTTCTTTAAGTTATAAATTCCTCTTTTCATTAGGTTAGCTCAAAACTTTTGATCAAAAATCCAAAGTTTTCTTTATGTAATTTTTTTGGTTCTTGTCAAGGCTAAAAAATTCTTGTTAAAAGAATATCTGAAATTATATATCCAATGCTGCTGTTTTCAGTTGAGATTGAGAAATCATTTTCAAGATCACAGAAGTCATATAAAACACAATAAATTTTTAGGGAATGAAAATTTTGTGAGTTTCAAAAGAGTTCTAATAGATACGTATATGTTTATTCAATATCTCTTAAAACCAAATAAGTTCTAATCAAATAATGTTGTTCTATTTCTCTTAAACCCAAACTGTGCTATAAAATTTCAGTATCCGAACTTAATTCGAGTATTTTTAATATTTTCTTTACTGATTTTATATTATCCTAATCGACGAGTATGATGTCTTAGCTTTCATTTTAAGGAGATCAACAAGTTGAAAAATATTTATTTTAATATTTTGCAAAAGAGAAATTGAATAGCCCACAGTTAATTGATAGAAAATATCAGTTATTAACATAACTAACCTATAAAACGAAATTTCTCTTAAGATGATTTCAGTGTTTACTAGCTAACCGACAATTTTTCTGTGTATTTAAACCATACTAATTACCAGTGAGCATTTGAGGAGTACCTAGAACACAAACAGTCTATGTGAAAAGATCGAAAAATTTCTCTCAGTGTACAAAATTTAAAGTACCTGCCAAAGGTTTGCGCACCATTGACATATATCGTAGAAATGCTGTAAATTCTTTTATTTGTTTGCGAAAACTCTCTGAGATGTGCCGTGAAGGTCCAGCACACACATAGCAACAACATTTCGCAGGTGATTGGCAGAGAAATTGTGTGAACAGTTGGCAACAGGTAAACAGCGACGACTGGAATAGCGAACTGTTAACTGTGGATGATCGAGCTAAACGTCAGATGGAGTGAGCAGAGATTAAAGTGAGGTGTTAGAGAGGGGTATGGTTACAATAAAACATGTTTCTTCTTATTGGCATTTCAAGCTTTTTTACATAAAAATGTGGCACCCATTGAGTTTTACAAATGCGATGGCTGGTAATTGTTCAGCGAATGTGTGTGTGTGTGTACTTGTATGCATACGTGTTGGTTGATATTTGGTTAACAGCTTGTGTGCGCAAATTGACAATGCGCGCGCTTGGAGAAACCGATGAGAGCGGCGGCAAGCGAAGAAGCTGCGCTGAGGTAGAGGTGCGCAAGAACAGCTGAGTTGAGTCGCTTTTGGTGTTGCTGAGGCCATGGAGTGCGGCATTCTATAGCTGACAAGTGAACATTTAAAGGTAACAACAACAAACATTAACTTGTTGTTATTGTGGCTGGTTGTTTGGTTTTGCTGAGATTTTTCGTTTTTGCAGTGTTTGGGTTTTTATTGCTTCACTTTAATGTTTTGCTGGCATGCCAATTGCAGCAGTAAAGGCGCTGCCAACAAATACAATAGCAAAAACAACAACATCAATAACATACGTACAATAACAAAAACCATAATGTAGCATAACAATGAAGTATCGTCGAAACCTGCTGCTTGGCTGGCTTTGCGCACCAACCGGTGTTTCGAGGCACCAGATTCAATTTGTATTTACATTCATGCCGATAGGTTAGTCAGTTTTCAAGTGCGGTCTGAGCGTGTTGTGCGGCGCGGCAAAAATCGAGAGCGAATATCATCAGTAGCAATAGCAATAACAGTGCCAATAAGCTGAACGCTTTGTGCAGTTGGCGAACGATAGTTGAATGCAGCTGTTGGCGATTGCGGCATACTAATTTTTTCGCGCACTTAAAATAACCGTTAAAGCGACAAAGCGTAGAATTCGAAAAGAATAGCGAACGAAATGAATAGCTTATAAAAAATAAGGTTGGCGGTGTTAGCTTAAAATTCCAGTTAATTTACAAATTATATGTGTGATTTATAGAGAAACCAGTAAATAAATCTTACAAATACAGTGGCGATTTGCACTGAAAGTAACTTGATACGGTGATGTACACACCAGCAATAACATTAACAATTAAGAAAACGATAAAAAGGTGTCAGGCGCGTTGTGAATAAATTAAGCGCCAGTGGAGTTCTTGAAAGTCGTTTAGATAAGGGAATGTCGCAAATGTTTGTCTAAAAACCTTGCTTTTCGGCGCAAAATACGTCGAAGATAATCGAAGTATATAAAATTAAAAAGTCTACAAAGTCTCCAAAACACACGAAAATCTAACAAATTGCATAAATATTGTCAGAAATGCTTTAGCGAGTTAACCAAAGTAGAAAAAGTAATTTGCAGAACTCTACACAAAAGTCTACAATATCACAGAAATGACAAATAATGAATATTATATTTAAATAACTCACACTATAACTTAATTTTCATTAAAAATTACAAAAATACTAATCATAAACTGGAAAGTCGCCTACGTCAAGTTACGTAATCTGAATTCAATAAAAAGAACACCCAACCAACAACGAAACCTAAATTTACAAACACAAAGTGAATGTTTAAAAGTCTTATAGAATTAAAATTCAAGTATAGTATTCGAGTAAAACTTATTAAAACCGGAAAAGCAGTACAACATGTCTGCAATGGTAGCTCTACGTCGCTTCATCGATCTACTACTCTTTGTAATACTGGTTGCCGTCGAAGTCGCCTTGCGACAATGGATACCGCCACAAAAGCGCGGCTTCTTTTGCGGCGACGAGTCGTTGCAATATCCTTTTACTGGCACACAAACTATAGGGTTTGTAGCGCTATGTATTATAATCTTCGGCATACCATTCTTCGTCATATTTGTTGTCGAACTCTTTCGCCAATTATCACATAGTCGCGGCAAGAAACAACATGCATCACAAGATGCCGCAAACGAGTCGTGTCACTGTGGGCGTCGTTGGAAGAATATCTACGCACAAATAGGCTACTATTTGCTTGGCTTACTAATGACACTAGTCACTACAGAGATAGGGAAGCGTTCGATCGGTCGTTTGCGTCCGTACTTCTTCAGCATCTGCAAGCCGCGTTTTAGCGACGGCACCAACTGCGACTTCGATCAGAATCAAGGTCATTACTTCACCGACTACAAATGCGAAAGTGATGTGAGTCAAAGGATGATGGCTGAAATGGCAATGTCCTTCCCTAGTGGACACTCTTCGACCGTCTTTTATGCCATGATCTATATAGCGCTCTACTTGCAAGTGGCGCTGAGCACACGCGGCTCCAAGCTACTCAAGCATTTACTGCAATTCAGCGCCGTAATGTTGGCTTGGTATGTGGCGTTGACACGCATCAACGATCACTGGCACCACTGGTCCGATGTGTTGGTGGGTATATTGTTGGGCTCTTTATTTGCTTGGTTGGTGGCACGTTATGTGGCCAAGTTTTTTGAGGGCCGTTGCTCAACGTCTTCTGCGGTGGCGTCGAAAATCTTAGTGCACTCCGGTTTGGCAGCTGCGTCGGCGCAATCGGCGACGCCAGTCTTGCCCGCGTACACATTTGGCAGTGTGCCGTATCTGCAGCACCACGGACCGAATCACGCCGCCTACGGTCAGACATACCACAACTATGGTTACGTGCCGTAAAACGGGCTTTTGGAAGAGGCGGCGAAATGTAAACATATAATGAAACGCACGTACATACACACATGTGGCAGCAGCAGTGGCGGTGGTTCAATATACAACAAACTTAAGAAATGTCTGGAAATGCAGTTGAGCTGCAGTGAAAGCCATTGCAATTTTGTTATTATTTGTATTTTTTTTTGTTTTTTTAAATTTTTTTTAATTTTAATTTCGCAATGCACGCATGTGGCATTGGAATTCGTGTAGCAAAGAGAAATTCTGCAAACAATTGTATGCATGTCTACATGTATTGCAGAATTTCACAGTTGAATGATTTTGTTGAGGTCTGCAACTGCTTAGTCAAACGCTAATTGTTGCTAATTGCCAACGTTGGCACTAATCACTTACATACTTGTCTTAAGTGGAGCATATGTAAACGTATAATTCACATAATAGTTTTAAAAAATAACTGCAAATTTGTCTAAATTCGTCGCTACTTAATTGTAAGTAGGTTTATGCTCTAATTAAATGTTAATTAAAATCTTTAACGGCTTTAAACGATAGTCTACGATTGTTACATCACTAATAATCACTTAATTTCAAGTGCATTGTATACTAATACAATTATAGAAGTTAAATAATTCTTATTTTAAAAAGTCTCCACAAAGTCTCCAAAATGTATTTCGTTATAAATAACTTAATTTGAGTATCTAATTATATATGCACTGTTTAGAAGTCCGCACATAGCGTTTTTAATGTCTCCAAAAAAGTCTCCAAAGTCTATATCATTTCAACACATCTAAATTTAAGTCAAACATAAAGTAATATGTCATAAAATGCCAAGAAAAAATAAAATTAGAAAGTCTCCAAAGATGTTTGAAGCGTTAAAATGCGCAGCTAATAACTTTTTTTGTTGAACATCTAGTACGAATATTTTCGAAAATATGAATATTATCGAAAACGCTAGTTAAATGGCAATTATTTATATAAAAAAGTATTTATATGTACGAAAACTATATATACTATTATATAAGAAATTGTATATTTATTGAGCTATAGTATATTATTTCTTGTTTTTACAAATTTACAGCTATCGGTTTATCAAATTATTTCAAAGCGTATATTTATGATTTCAATTTGTATTTATATTGTCAACTATCTTTTATACACCTATTTCTATTTTTAATCAAAAGATTGTTTATATTTGTAACTCAATGTGACTACGAATATCTATGGATCTATGTATTCATATATATATATGTATGTACATATATGTATTTACAAATTGGTTTGAAGCGAAATTCATCAAATGCGCTTTGAAGAACTTCAACAGTTTAAACAATTTTTAATAAAAAGTACAATTATTGTTATATAATATCATCACAAAACAATTATGTTTTTTATTTTTTGCATATTAATATCTACACTTGTAGCTACGTCGGCAATTCTTTTTTGGTTTTGTTTAATTTTGTAATATCAAATTGTTATTTAATTTGTTAGAAATAATTAGGGCAAACAATTTTACATCACTTTTTAGTAATTTGAACAAGCGAAATTTTTGGCAACGTACGAAATTAAGAAAAATATTATTTACGCTAAAATTAAATGAAATGATTCGAAATTATTAAATTTAAATAATAGTAACATTTTTCGGTATTTAAAAAACAAACAGGGTGCGTAATAGAAACTAACTAGGAATTAAGTGTATTTGTTAGTTTTTCCGCCCAATTTTAAGGGTTCTCATTCCAATCATAATCTCAATTTACAGTGCACCGAATTGGAGCTATAAGAGAGTGATTACCTAATTTGTCTCTGTTGAAAGTGGACAGTGTTTTTCGGCAGGTTTTTGTTAATTTTGAAACAGCATAAACCACTGTATGATGTCCTTGACCGACCAGTTTTTGTTTTCGATTATTTCGATTTCATCAGTTTTTATTTCAAATTCACTGTAGATTTTACAATGTAGCACAAGGTGCAAGTAACTTGAAAAACTATTTACTTTGGAGAAATACTTACATTTAATATAATAATATATGCGGAGAACGACAAAGAAACGAAAGGGCGTATAGTTTTGCTCCTTTTTCGAAATATCCTCTGCAGGTATGCATCACAATCACAAGCTAACGAAATACTGATCATTTTGAGCCTAAAATTAGCTAAATCACAAGCTTTAGATTCAAAATGAGCAAGGATGATATATTGTTAAGAATTCTCATATGACAACCTACAACAAACGTTCACAATTGAATCTGACTACATTCTCGATTTCTACAGGAAACGTTCAAAGATGAGCGTGAACCTGTATGAAGAAGTTGAAGTGAAAATGTAAAGTAATGACAAGTAAGTTTTAAAGTTTCCTTTGTAACCTTATTCATCGACTTACATAAATGTGTAACTTGTTACTCACTTCTCTAACCGTCTAATAGACACAAGCTACTGTAATATAATTCAAAGAATTATAAATTCATATTTTTTGGATTATCAGCAACGATTGCTTCATCTGATCTGATATAATCATATATAAAATATAAACCAGAAATAATAATTTCTGGATAAATAGTTTTGCTTTTGTGACTTGTCTCTAATCCAATGTACAATACATTCAGGTTCTCGTATATTTTTTAAAAAACCAAGTTTTCTAAGACTTAAGAACGCTAACGGATGAGCCTTTAAATGAAGTGAAGAAAATGTTAGTTCCTTACTGCCTCATTGGTTAACTGGTGACTACTCAAAGCATTGTTGGATACTAAATTGATGTGGGAGAGTTCTATTTGGGTACTCTTGAAAAAACATAAATTAACAGCATCATAGAGCTTAGAGCATTGCCAGATCAAAAATATTACCTATATATAGTTTTTATCATTTCAGTGCAAAAAATAAAAGAAAAGTAAAAGCCGCAATCAAGTTCAACATTGACAAGGTCGTAGGTCATACATTTCGATACGTGGAGAACAAATTTTTGTATTATTTTCGGTACTTGCCAGGCAGAGAGTTTTTTAATTACTGTTACTTTCTTAACATAACAACTATTTATAGTAGATGCTTTTTATGGCAAGTGGAGACTTTAAATGTTTGCTAATTTTATGAGCAAAAACACTATTTTGCGTCCAAAAAAAATTCTTTTCAAAAATTAAGCATGTGATATGGGCACTTCACTCTTTTTTGAAGCACATTGCAAATATGCTTCCACATTTGTCTGCTTTTTTCTGCAGCAATTCCCACAGCACAAGTGTTTTCAAGTTATTACTCAATCAATTTGCGCATTCAGCACTTTTGCATACATAAATGGAAATTATAACGAGAAAAAAACAACACTGTTAAATTGTATTACTTAATTATTTTATTTTGCCCGTGCAAACCAATTGAATAAATAGAAATGGAAAAGAAAAAAGTGCAAACTACAGTCTTTTTGTTTTGCTAGTTAATATTGAATTAACTCACAAAAGCACCAGGAACAAGCGCTACATCTACGAGTATGTATGTATGTGTATGGGTATGTAACAGTTATGGTTAAGTAAGCCTCATTGCCGTTTTAGCGCTGCTGTACCCGCCATGGACACACACAGCTTAACTAAACATGATTGCTTTGATTATTTGCTTTTTTATTGCCTCACGCTTGACTAAGAACGGCGAGCTGTTTTACGTTTCAATATCAACACACACACATACCTATACTCGTAAACTTCCACAAATATTTAGTTGGCATTGTCATATATATTGGAACGACTAAAAATAAGTAAGCAATGAAAAACCGCCTGCAAAAGGCACGTGTCACGCGGCGCATGATGCGAGCGGGCGAAATAAATAATACGAAATTAAAAGGCGGCATTAAAGTAGCGGGGAAGTCGAAAAAACAAAAATATATATATTTTTTTTTTAAAAGGAAATTTTCTATGTGAGCAAATGGCATTTTCTAATTAATTTCATAATAGCACAAAATGAGGTGCTCGTATGATATAAGCAAAATTTTGGAGCTTTGTAACTGAAATATCGATAATGGGCGCATATTGCCTAAAAGAAATTTCAATTAGTAAATGAGTTTTCGAACAATAAATTTGCGAAAATCGAAGAAAAATATTAAGTTAAGAAATAAAATGATTTTAATAAATTATAATAATCATAATAATCATAATAAATGGGCGTGAACTTTTCGCTCTTTAAGTTTTATATCTGTACTAGCTTTTACCCGCGGCTTCGCTTGCATCGAATCTATCAAATAAATAACTGATATCATTATAGTAGATATGGATCCATTATATCCATATCATTTTTATATTTAATAAGAGTAACTAATAATATTTGTGTTATCATTCATTTCTGCCAAACTTTTTTTTTTCAATTTCAAAATTTTCAAATTTATTTTCCAAACATATATAATCTTCCAAAATAATTTTTTTAATAATCCGTAAAAAATTTATAAATTTTGTAATAAAAAGTATCCTATGTTCATTCTGACACCTAGAGAGTATATATACAAAACTTCATGATGATCTGTTAAGTAGTTTTTGCGTGAAAGCTTAACAAACAAACGGACTTTCGCATTTATAATATTAGTATAGATATTGGTACTAACTCACATATACCGAAGATGAGGATCCTCGCGAGTTCCTTTTATATTAAAAATGTAGACAGATAAGTAAGATATCTTTAAAAATTGAACTGGGCACGTTTTCTTAAACATAATGTAAAATGAGTGCTATATGTACATAAGTCCACAGTTTCTGGAATAGTGTTTTTGATATACTCCGAAATATTTCAGATTTAATACTTACAAAATCTGAGAGTGTCTAATGTTCTGCTTTACGCTTTTTAATTTTTCAATATAATAACCCAAACAAGTCTCATGCGCGTAATTAAAGTTAATCAAGAAGCATATGTGTTATACTAATTTCACTTGAAAATTTGCATACACAATTTTTTTAGTACAAATTCTTTAATTATTTTCAATTAAAATGAATATTACTTCGACAAGACAAGGAAGAGAAATATAATATATATTTGCATAAGTACCATACATATTTATATACGATTATATGAATTAGTAGACGGTGAGTGGGCTTATTACTAGAATAAATTAACAAAGTAAACAACAGTAAAGAAATGATGAGCAGCAGACACAAAGCTGAAGAAAATGAAAATTATAAACTTCCAGAGTAATAACATGAAGTTTATATATTTAAAAATATGTGTATGAAGCTTCAGCAGCATAGGAATAAGATGTGTCGGAGCTTTCATTTGAGACCACCAACATCATGATTCATTGTTTTGGTTTATAAAAATTCACTTAACCAACGCGTCACCGGACCGTAGTGACGTGAATTTTATGTGGGCGATATCAAAAGCGCTCAAGTGACTTAGCGCGTTAAAGTCATGAAGATTTTATATGAACGAGTGTTCGTATGTATGTAAATTTGCGAATGAGAAGTTATCGCAGTACATTTAAAAGACGTCTTATTGGGATAGGGCAGTTTCGACCGCTGATATTCGAGTAGTAAAATTCATACTCATGAGAACTAAAGGCTACCAAAATTTGCTGTGTCAACTTTTTACACAGTTATGGCCACGCGTGTGGGAAAATCCATTTCGTGATTGTGATTTTATCTAAAAATTTGTGTGAATATTTACTTACCATTCAAAGATATGTGAATGTGAGGGTGGATTCATATTTCTTAGATAAAAAATGTTTGATTAATTGATGAGATATGTTTTTTGAAGCGGAATGTAATGCTCTTTTTTAAATAGTTTTTTCATTTCCAGATGTACTATTAGTCCCTAAATATCTGCAAATAGTACTTTAACAAGAGTAATACTCATTTTGAAGGTTTCAGACTACCTCTCAGTAACTCTAAGATAATAAAGTTAATCCTGAATTGCTTTTTAACTACAGGGTGTGGAGATCAAGCTTTCGTAAAAGCGTTCTTTTGGGGGATCTTGAATTGACAGTATCGGTAGGAAAATTTAGGACTGTGCCTAAATTAAAAAAAATATTTCATATCAATTTTACTTCTTTATAAATATTGCGTATTGTATAACTTATTTCAAATACAAGGTTGCCATACTTTTAATAACAAAGGTTTATTTTTGAATTAATTATGGTTTGAAAAAGAATGCCACCCTGTAAAATATGAAAATAAAACATATTTCTTATAAATTAAATTATATAAATATGGCAACGCCTGTATAAAATATTTATTTATTTAGAAGAGTTCTAAATCCTATTATTGAATTATAAGATTTTTATGACATATGAAATGAAAAAATATACTGTGTGAAATTTGAAACAGGTGGCAACTTCAACATTTTTTTTTTGTTTTTAAATGGTATAATATTTTGTATAGGTTCGAGTATTTTATAGTAACGCTTTGCAAGACGTACATTGCTTACTTGCACTTCCTTTCTTATGGCAACCATACAGAGAATAGTTTTTGTGAATTTTTTTGGGCATTCATATGTCCTCTATAACAAGATATACCGAATCCAGCGTCATAACAGTTTGTAATTAAAATAGTCAACACAATTCATACTAGCGATTTCTTCTTTATTCTAACGGGTTTTCGAAAATCTTTTTAGCCTAATTATTTTAAGATTTATGGCATCACTTCAATACCGTTAACTCTTTCATTTTCCTTGCTTAAAATTCACCAAATTTTATCGCACCTTTAAATCAATAATTCGAGGAACGACTACCGGCACTTAATAAATATATACATACATATACGTTACATGCGTCTTCTTTCGTGTTTTGAAATATATTCATAGAAATGTATATATGTATGTATGTATTTATGTATGTTTGTATGTTTGCATGTAAGTATGTGGCGCTTAATGCTGATTCATGTTTTCGGAAATTGATCGAAGAAATCACAGCCGCTTGACTTTCACCATCACCGACTTGGCTTAGGTGTCTGTGCATAAGCAATATTTTCAGCTGAATTGGCACTGATGCTGTGGTTTGGGAAATTAAATATTACAAAATTTTGCTTTAATGCTGATGATGACGAAAACGTCAAATACAAAATATTAACAATGAGCGGTTGTGAATTTTTATTTGCGCAACCGAAGTCTGCCAAAGTGAGAATCAGCAGCCGCAAATGAGCGCCAAATCATAGTTAATTAATGGCCGAAGGCATCTTCTCAACGCGCGCAGGCTAATAAAGCAGAAAAGAATTTTTGGTGGAGAAAAAACAAAAAAAAAAATTGAATAGCTGTATTTTACACTAATATCTGCTTTATGTATTGTTTAATTTATTTAACTACGGCAAACAATGTAAAGGTCATTGCGCGCTGTGAAAGACTTCAGAAATTGCTCAACCGCTATAACCGATTTAATGAGACGCTTACAGTTAGTTAGCACAACAAAGCTGAGAATTATGAGCCATTCAATTAAAATAACTGCAAAATACTACGTAGAGCAGGTGCCAAAAGCAACGCTTTTTTATGATTGCTAAAATTCCAAAAAAGTAACGTCAGCATTTTGGTAAAATTGCAAAAATAAATTATTTGCGCTGCTCGCCGCTTTGCCAGCGCATGCGCTATTTACTCAATCAGCTTCAACAATTTGAGCGTCTGCACTCAGCTACAAGTACTCGCGCGCCTAGCGTCCCATATAAGCGTTGATCTCAACGCGTTTGTTTGCGTCTTTGCCGCTGGTTTGTTGTTTGGCCAGCACGTGGTGCAACCGCTTGCTGGATAGCGGGCTTTTGGTCGCATAAACTTTCCAAACCACATTCTTCGCCCAGCTTATTTATGGGCGTGTGTATTTATTGTCTCGGTTGTATTTACAAAGTTGGTTAGTTGAAATATGCATTGAATTTGAATTTCTGTTTCTTATGTTTCTCTTTTACTTTGCTGTATTGTTGCCGCTGAAGACTTTTGTGCGCATTTTAAATAAGTTATTAATTAGCATATACCATACTTATACTTATACGCTGATCTGCATAACTCGCGCTTAAAAGTCGAACGCTACCTTTTAAACGAGATGCAGACCCAATAGGAGACAAATTATTTGTTGAGAGAAACTGGAAATTTTGAACCAGGGAAGTTCACACTTGCTAGTGGTTTACTTTAAGCGCAGGAGAACCCAAAATGTTTGAAACCAAGTAAACGGTAACTGTTTCTGAGATGTTTTAATTTATTGTTTGCTACAGATCATATTTTAGAAAGATTAAAAAGAAACCAGTATCGTAACTGAAAGAAGCCACTTCCAGTAATAAATATTGTCTAGATACAATCTCAACAAAAGTAGTGAATAATTCTAACAAAAGTTAATATGAATATTCATAAAACCTTTTCGCCACAATGGACGTCGCTAATTGTTTATTTTACTTTTGATTAAACTCGTTAACTTTTAGTTGGAGTGTTAAAAAACGGCTCTAGCCATGAAAAAACTGGAAACGATTTTTAAAAGGCAGAAGTGTATTTTTGGCAATCGATACGGAAACTACAAAATAATAGCGGGATTCACATTTTTCGAAAATTGTCTTATCTAGCTGTTTTGAAGCAGTATTTTACACTTCATTATCTTCTGAGGTTTTGTGAAAAGAGGAGGATGTAGCACCAGTATTTAACCATGGAAAAACTGCCTTCTAACTCACACAGCTTGCTTTTCCTACTGGCTCACTTATAGGTTAGCTGCTTTGATTCAATTTCTTGAGCATCGATCGCTGCGATCTACGATTAGCAGAACAAGTTTGTTTATGCATGGGAATATTATTTTCATGGGAGCGTTTTTTCTTGCTACACTTGTTGTTGTTTTTGCTATTGCTCTTGTGACATTTAAACCTAATGTTCGCTATTGTTGTATGTATTGGAAGCAATACAATTGTTGAGAAACCTAAATGGTTGTTATTGTTGTGTTCGTATGATTGAATTTTGGGTGTTCGATACAGGCGGTGTTGTCGCTAGCATACATGTTGTTGTTGTTATAAGCAAGTGATTATTTCAAATGAGGCTTGTTGTAGCATTATCATAGACATTGTTGTTGTTGTTTACTTTGTATGTTTGGCGTTTGAACTTATTATTATTGCACCTACAATTTGTTGTTGTAAGCCGATTCACTGCTTTGTATTTGTAATGGCTTCTTAGAGCGCGTTTGTTGTTATTATTACAGCACCGCGCATGGTTGTTGTTGTAGCTCATATTTATTTTCGGTTGAGTAGTATATTAGCATGCTATTATTGATTTTGTTTTTGTAGTGTTTAGTGAATATATTAAATTTGTATTGTTTGTTTTTATTGTTAGCCGCTTTTATATTTTTACGAACTTTTATTTATTCGATTTCCATCGGTTGTCAACAACACTTACAAAACTATAGAGGATGAGCAACAGTATTCAAATACAAATGCAGTATTCATATGTAAATTTGATTTTCGAAAACACTTCAACCGCTAACAGCAGCGCCGCGGCGCGTTCACACAAATTTCGACAAGTTCGTTGCTTCAGTCTTCGGTGTCGCTTCGACGCGTCTGGCAGGCGTGTAATGACGCTTATTTTCAGAAATTACTTAAAAGCGTAGAAACACATTTTTAAAAGGAAAATTGTTCAATTATAATTGAAAGCAAGTAAGTAAGCGACCGGAAATAATGAACTTAGCTTAAAACGCCGCAACGCAAAAAAAAAGTGGAACAACATTAGGTGTACTAACAGCAGCTATTTAGCAAACAGCAGCTTTGAAAGAACACACAACAAAAGCGACAACCAATTAAGTCAAACAATCCAATCAGCAAAGCAGACATTGCGCATTAAACTAATCAAAAACGAACGCGCCGTTTCACCGCGCGCCTTTCAGCTCCACGTCGCACGCCGCTTTAATTCTCTGCCGCGCGCGCCACTGCCGCCAATACAAAATGTGCAAAACGCCGAGTTCACGTCTGCTGCTGCGTCTCATAGTTGATGTTGTGATTTTAATTGCGCTCTGCTGCGTCGCGCTAATTGTGCTGCCCAAACTATTGCCCACCACACGGCGCGGCTTCTTCTGCAGCGACGCATCGCTGCGCTACCCTTACACCGCTTCGCTGCTTAATCGCGTACACATTACCATTGCGGTGATCGCCTTACCCGCTGCTATCATGTTGGTGGTGGAGATGTTGTGGGCGGCGGTGCGCGCTGCACGCAAATCTGAGACGAATACGACTATGAAGCGCGCTGGCGTACAGCAATTTGTATTCGTTGGCGTAAACATACCGACCTTCGTGAGTGAGTGCTACAAGATTGTTGGCATCTACTTCTTTGGTTTGGCGCTCGTGCTGATAGCTGCGCGCGCAACTAAAAACTTTGTGGGCCGTTTGCGCCCTTATTTCTTTGACGTCTGCCAACCGCAGTTGCTGGAGACGCTGGGCGGTGGTTTAGCTTGTGAGCGGCTCGACGCGCCATATGCGCAAAATGTCACCATGGGTTATATTGAGGATTACGAGTGCTACGAATTGGCCGCCTCAGGAGAGTTGTTGGCCATGGCGCGGCAATCTTTTCCCAGCAGTTACACAGCCACTGTTGTTTATGCCATGTGCTTCATTGTGTTTTATTTGCAGGCGCGTTTAGCTACACGCGCACTGCTGGTATTGAAAACTTTGTTGCAATTCGGTTGTCTGATCTTGGCCGCGCTGGTCGCGATTGAGCGCTTCTATACACACCAGAATCATTCGACGGACTTATTGGCAGGTGCGGTTTTGGGCTTTTTTGTTGCAGCTTTTACTATAGTCACCGTGGCCGATGTCTTCAAGAGTTTGCCTGTGAAAAAACGCAAGCCACGCGACGATTCTACGCGCATTTACGGATACTACGGAGTTAATCGCATTGCTAAATATTATTGATGTTGCATTTATGTGTGTTATTTCGTAAATTTATAAAGGCTATCAAAACTTTGTAAAATATTTAAATTATATTACAAGAAAGGTATGTGTCTGCAGTCAATAAAAATACAACAAAGTACAAAATTCTTTTATTTTTTTTATTCTAATATTATATTAACGATTATTCATATGCTCTAATTTGAAACCGAACAAAAATGCTCGAATTTGAATTTTCAAAAATAACTGGTAAAATTCTCAAATTGATCATTAGGGCTACAAATCTAGAAAATTAGATAAAAATTCTGAAAGGAAGTGTTTTGTTGTCCAACTAAAACTGAAGTAGTCAAACCTAACCAACGCACAGTAGGACCAAATATCAATTTTTTGAACAAAAATTTAGCTTTAAGTGCTTTCATTAACGCAAAACTATTTTGCAAAAAAAGCAATGGAAAATGATTACGGCACAGTGGACGCGATATACAATTTGTGTACAATAATTTTTTAAGTTCCATTTTTAATACCTCGTAAAACACTTTCATTAAAACCATAATTAAAAATATTGAGAAATAATACATGCACAGTGGGGCGAAATATAAAAATTTTAAACCAAAAAAAATTTTAGTTTCTTAATTTTCAGGTATGATAAAACTTTTACCCAAAACCGATAATGGATTATAATGAGTTACTGCATGCACAGTAGGACAAAATGTAAAATTGATGGGCAAAATTTATTTCAGTTTTTTAAGATGTGACAAAAAAAAACAACAGATAAAAGTGAAAATTTATATACGCACAGTGGGACAAGTGATTAAATTTAAGAACAAAAATTTTTCAGTTTCTTTTTCTCAGACATGGTAAAATTATTTACGCGGAAATAATATTAAAAGTATTGAAAGATAATAAATAAATGCACAGTGGAACCAAATATAAAATTTTTGGTGAATTTTCAACTTTTTGTATTAATAAAAAAAAATTATATATTTAAAAGGTTTATTTTTAAAATAATATTTCGTGACCTTTCTAATTCTATTACAATTTTTGAGTACTTTTTTGTGTAGAAATGTGTAGTTTATAGCTGGTAACGGTGCATTCTATTATATCCTCAGCCAAATAATCTGCAAGCCCACTGCTTCTTCAAAGAACTGCTCCGAAATATATAAGTATGTAAGCAAAGAAAAGCGTAAACAAATAGTTAAAAGCTTATTCAACGAGTTTCCGTCGTCAAAGCTTTTTGCTAAGTAGCAACGTAGGTTAGTAAGAACAAACGCTACTATAAAATAAGAACTTAAAGCTTACGTTCCACAAGCTACCGAACGATCAGTTCAGACGTTCAAGAAATTCAAAAGAATCAAGCACGCAAGTACATATATACATATATATTTCATATGTGACCCTCTCAGCTCATCGCTAACAATGTCGATGAGTCGATAAGTACGACTGCTCATGCCCGAGTATGTCGTGAGTAAAACCAGTTAGCAGAGGAACTACGAATGCATTAAAATAACAGTTAAACAACAGCTTTGCTACAATAACTCAGAATCACTTACAACAACTACAATAAAAACAAAGAATTTGTTAGTCAACGTGTAGATTGTTAATGGACCCTCACTGACTTGGTGTTGACAAGCGTTCGCACGCCTTTCGGGGTCGAGGCTTGTACAATTATGGCCGGGCAACTTCTGTTAAATGCTTGTATGCATAAGTGAATGCTAGTAAGCACTTGTTGCTGATCTTTTGAATGACCAGCCGTCGGACATATATAACACACACACACACGTATTTATGTACAGCGCCGGCGCATCACTCATTGCAGCGACAGCACCAATCAACGCCAGATAAAAGGAAGTGCAATGTCAACAGCTGCGAAATTGAGGAGTTATGAGGGTGTAACTTAAGCAACTGCGGCCTTAATTCTTTTTATTATTTCTTATTTTTATTATTATTCAAGCCGCGCTACGGAAGTCGGTAAGCAACTCTACAGGCATACATACACACAAACATGCTTGATTTCAAGCCATTTGGCGCCGTTGCAAAATTAATATTCTCAATGCATTATTTTATTGTGACTGTATGTAAGCGAAGACAGCTCACTTACAAGCTTTGCACACAGCTCATTTTGGCGCGCTTTAGCAAAACGCATGCAATTGCTCATGCGAGTCGTATGTAATAGCCGCGCGCCTGTCGTTGGATTACATGCAACCAGTGACGCTGTTTACCGGTTTAGTCGTGAATTTGTTTTAGTTATTTTTTTACAAAGTGTTGATAAACAAATGAAACTTGACGATTATTATTCAGTTTTGTTTTCTTTTTGATTTTGCGTAGTAGTTGCCGGTATGTCTCTTTCGATGTGCAGTTGTCGCTTCTAGCGAGTTCTTAATGAATAGCTCTCGAAGTCAATTGAAATCTCGGCAGTTTAGGCGTCTGATTGCGAACAACAACGAATAAATAAATAACTTAGTATACAACTTAAATGGGTAGTTTAGCTAATCTATTTTACTAATACACATATCTGAACAAAATTAGATATAGAATTATAATTTTGTTCGGAAAAAACATATTTTTTTGCATTTTCTGAGCAACTTGACCATAGTTTGTATATATTTTGTATACCATCAGAAAATAGAGATTTCAGCAACAAAAGCCTAGTAATTTAAAAATAAGCAAAATTTTGAATTGAGAATTTTCGATTGAAAATTATTGTTCTTTTCGATTTTAAGTCGAAAAAAGATTTCCTCGCTAATGTTTTAAATTAGAAAAAAAAAAAAGTATGTTAAGGACGTAAGAAGGTAAGTTTATAGTAAATCTAATGATTGAAAAAAAATTTGTACAAGTTAAAGTTAATAAACCCAAAAATTTGGTAATTTGAATTTTTCACATACATTTTGAGGTTATGTAAAAAAAGTCTATTAACAAAAGTTATAGATCTTTTCATTATCTACAACATTGTCATATAACACTTTTCTATGAAACTCGTAGTTTTGCAGGAAATTGAGATAAACAGTTTATAACCCTTAAAAATTCAAACACGCCCCAAAACCCTTCCTTTTCCCGATCACAGATCGCTAGTGAATTATTTTCCCGTTTATGTATGCTATTTTATTTATCTTTCGTTTCCGATGGGTTTCATCCGTCGTCAATAATTTTTGCTTTAATGTTTATCTCTATCTTTTACGAGAGGTCTCATCTTACTATGATCTTTTTTGTTTTCAAAAATCATTTACCCTGGTCTATCTGTAAATATCATATATAATATATAAAATATTTGACTATAAATCAAAATTACTGAATTTTTATTAATTTCATATAAATTTTCACATATAATATATATTGTTATTAAACACTTTCTAATAAAAAGGTTTCGAGTAATACATAACCTCAAAAATTATTCTTGAAAAATCTATTATAAGAGCGATATTATATCAAGAGCGCATTAAAAATTTTAAAATAATTACTAATTAAAAGATCATCAGTTTATAGAAAAGATAATGACTTTAGTAAAGAAAAATTTAGCAACTTAGACCAGATTTCGATAAAAGCGCTGCAGTTACGTGTTTAAAAAAATTTTTTCTAATAGTTCACGCAAGATTTTGACGAGTCTAAATGGGTTGGTTTCTTACAGAGAACAGTTAGTTTATTAACAACCAATAAATTATGAAACTTTCATCAAATTTTTTTTTCATTAATTTTTGCACTTGCGGAAGTCATATTTTCGCGCTTTCCTGCTTAATTTATACAAAAACTCAAATCGACTTAAAAACCTAAAAATATTAAAATACCTAAAAATAAAATACTTAACCATAATTTCATTTCCACGTTAATTAATGCCGTGTCGTTTAAATAAAATAAAACTGCAGACTAGCCACCTCAATACTAATTGAATAACAGACACACCGCAAAACTAAGAAAAAGCGCGGCGCGGCATCAATTACCAGCCAAGGAAAATAAGAAGCAGTAAATAAAAAAAACAGTTAAACACAACAACAACAACAACGGGAACAATGAAAGCAATAAAATATTTGCGATTTTCCAGCAAATTATTGGCCAATAAAATATTCATCGGCGAGCTGCTGTGTACTTACAGCCGCCAACCGCTTTGTGCACTTGAGCGTGGCAATAAGAGCTGCGCTTGTAACTACAAACAACAGCAACGCCAATAAAATGAGACTACCAAAAAATTTATTTACAATAAAAAAAAATTGGGGAGAGTCGTAAACCGATGCGAGGCAGTTGAGCGTGAAAAATAAAATCAGCAAAAGCGCCAGCGCTCAGCTTGCTGCGTGTAGCGAACGAGCGCGAGGAGACAGGTGCCTGGCAAGTGTGTGCAAATTCAACTTCATTCATATTTGTATCAATTTTCTACAGATTAAGTAAATTCTGTTTATTTTTTTTATTATTTCTACGCTGTTAATTACTTTGTGTTTTTGTGTGAGTATTGCGCCTGCGTTGCAAGCACTTGTGCAGCTTTAATTTAATCCAAAAGTGAGAAGTGTGTGTAATTAATAAGCTGTATTGCAGTAAATCAGTTAAAAAGCTGTGATTACTTGGCCTCAAATGAATATTGACAACATAGCTATAAAACAAAGAAAAAGTATACAAGAAAAATATAATAATACACCATATACAGTAATTAAACTAAATGATATAAAAAAATTAAAGCAAAAAAAAAAACGAATAAAGTGTAATACACTTGCCAAGTAAAAACTTTTTTTTACAAGAACTCAATTTTATAGGTCAGCGTGTGTGGCAGCAATATGATATAGTGTTCCGATCTGAGCAGTATGTTTGTAGACACTACCGTTACCTTGGAAAGTTATCTATGCAAAATTTCTTGAAAATATCTTGTCAAATAAAAAGTTTCCCATAGACGAACTGAGCGATCAAACAATGTGATAGCTACATATATCCTATTGTGGTAGTATATATACATATGTATATGATTATTTATTTATATGTAAATGCTGTAGAGCTTCCTACGCTTTCTTCAGAGTGTTACAAACCTCGTAACAAATCTAATATAACCTTGTTTTGCGTATATATCATAGAGTTTGCATGGATTTGCATTGGTCTTTTTTTATTTGTGAAGGGTATTCTAACTTCGGTGCAGCCGAAATTAACATTTTTCTTGCTTTATTTATTAATTAACGGCCCAACAATACCTCGAAAGGAAAGTTGAGCCTTTGATAAAAATTTCTGTAAACCCATTGATTACATCTCACCACGGAAATCTTTAGTAAAAGGCGAAAGATTTATTCGACAACTGAAGAGAAGTCAGGGTAACTTTAAAAAGCGGACACTAAAGGTTATAAGCTTGGGTTAACATAAATGGGGTGAGAATTGTAAGAGTACAAGAAAATTGTTAAGGAAAATCTGCATTAAGGATTACGCTTGGATCGCTTGGAAACAGTACAGTATGCGAAAGCACACAAAAATTTAGGTAGTTTGGAATCAATGAAGTGACGAAAATTGCGATAATAAATAGCGAGACTTGCGAAGAGCTACAATTATTTTCAGATTGGATTTTGTACATGGAAAATAGCGATCACTATAGCTAATTATGTTGCATCGTTGGAGTAAACTATTTCACATATCGGCTGCAAAAAGATATTAATTTTTAAGAAGATATTTATTTTTTTTCAAAAGCTTTTTATTGGCTTAACAACTTTGTTTAAATCGTGTTCTAAGAGTATACTTTGCCTCATTTGCTACAAAAATGATGTGCCAACAGACTTTTAACTTGATCTTTGTTATACTAGTATTTTTTATCCAACACATAATAACCAGAGTAAGCCCCCGTAAGTTAAACACTCAGTTACACACATTAAAACCTCTCATTATCAGCACTTTATCATCGTGTTAACGTAGTTTAAACAATTCATAAGCTCATTATAATCACTTTCGAAAATTAACGCCAATCTACAACGCAACGAAGTTGTCACGCCTTTCGCAGTTTCCAACACCATTTGACATCATTAAATTTACAGTTGAGTTCTTAAAGTATATCCGCGCGTCATACATCCTCTTTTTAATTTTCACTTACTTTTATTAAATAAGTTATTTTGTTTTTTAACGTCATCTTCATAGCAACATTAACATAGCAGCTACCAGCAAGCTCAATCGTCACAGCTTACATGCACACATACATATATACTTATGTATGTATGTATGTAGAAGCAAATAATAATTCAATAAAGCTACACTTATTCATTCAATTTGAGGTCGAGTTCAGTTTTTTAATCTAATTAACCAAACGGCTCACGCTCCCCATTTGCCTTCTATAAACATAGCATGCACTCGTTGTTAAACAATTGTGGCGTTCGCACCAAAACGCCCATTTTTTGTAGAAGATGCATTCAGTCTGCTAGCGCTAGCAAAGAAGGCAGTAGCACAATAAAGTTAGATTGCGAGTTATGAACAAATGTTTTTACACACCAACATGTGTACATATATATATATATATATATTTATATATATATATACATGTATGTATGTATGTCGGTATATATGTTTGCACAAGTAGGTATATGTGTTAGCTAGTGCGCTTGTATAGCGTTCTAGCCTAGTCACCCATTGACACTGTATGCTCATTTACTCATATTACAGTTAGTTCTTTACGCAATTATTTGTTTGCTAGTGTCGCGCTGAGAGCGTAAAATGAGAGCGGCACTTAAGGTTATGCGTCGGATTTTTAGTTATATAAACTTATATGGTTGAAACGACTTTGGAAAGTCGAAAAACTGAAACATTTCAGACAAGCCGATCTATAATAATATGAGGTTCAGCCTATCGAAAAATGTACCTAGCAGAAAGCTTTTGAAACTTACGATTGTAAAACTAAATGGAATGGTCGCCTATAGTCGAATTATTGAGTAGGGAGAAAGAAAGCAAGTAACACAACTCACTTTTGCCATGCTTTCAGAGTTGATATTCTTCCAGTTAAACATTATATTTTTAAAGTTTTTGATCCAAGATAGAGTTATACATATATATAATATATATTAACTATAATCTGCCGATTGGTCGAGAACATTTGAAATTATTGTATTTGTTGCAGGTCATGACTAATCGATATACGATTTATGTGGTTATACCTATGTACGAAATAATATAATATAATATTATAAATTGTGGATCTATCGAGTACGAGGAAAATCGATAAACGATTTACGTATATTGAAAAACAAATAAAAATTCGGCCTATATAAAAATTAAAATTTAACAAAGGCTCAAAGAAGTTGCTTACACCAATAGAAAATTTAGATTTGGCTGTTGATAGAAAGTGATGTTTATATTTCTAAAGAGAACACTGAAAAATTATAGAAATAGAACCGCAAAAATAACAGTATATAGCAAGATGGCCGATGTGGGCCGTCACATTTTCAACTTGAAAACTTTTTAACGTGAAAAAGACCCGACATTTAAGTAAACTTTCTCGAGGTAAAGAAGTGTCTAGAGCTTAAAGTTTTCATGCTATCGCTAAAAACGGAAAGCATAATTTGTAATTATAACGTTATTTTTTTATTCCAATGTTGCAGATTTTAAAGCGGTTATGCAAGCACTCACTGTTATATAAATTTGTATCAGCGTTCGTGAAGATCACCTTATAGCTCAATCTCAAATCTGAAGAGGGCGCATAAAAGTTATTACGCAAACCTAAAACAATGACCATAAACGACAAGTAGGTGTGAAGTATTTATTTTTGAGGCTACCCTTGAAGATCAGGGCGATCAGTTATCATAAATTTTCGTATCAAAACAAACATGCGTCCAAAATAGCGCACACGTAAACAAACGAATGGCGCAAGAGCGCTATTTACGGAAAAAGAGAGCGAAAGAGCGAGAATGTGTGTTTGTACGAGGGCAACGAGGGCATGAGAACGAATTACTTGTAATGTTCAAACATGCGACAAAATGTGGATGTGTGAAGTGAGAGGGGTGTGTTTGTCGAGTGCGGGTGGCAGCAGGTGTATGATATTAGCGCCATACGCTCTTGTTACGTCTCTTTGGCGCTTGATGGTGCAAAAATTGGTCGGCTACTGTTAAACCGTGACTTTGGCATTCGCTTTCGTTTTCATTGCTGTTTTGTTTTCGCTCTGCCTATGAGTGTCGCTGTGCTTTTCTAATAAAATAGCTATTTAGAGCCGGTTATTAGTCACTTCTGCCATTTTAGTTCGATTGACTGCCGCCTGATTACTCATTACCCTTATACAAATAACTTATCTATGTGTTATTTTATTATTTTAGCCACGTATTATAGTTATATTCGCTTTATCAATTTTTATTATTATTTATCATATTCTTTATAGCACTTGTTCAGCGTGTTGCTTTTGTTTATAACTACAAGTAAACATAGTTTACGATATTTACGTTACGTTGTAGTTTTTTCGCCACTGGCGGTGGCTCTGAATTATCTACGAACTACATTTGTTAACGAATGCAATTGAGGCGAACACGAAAAATCGCAAGTCATATAGTCAAAAATTAAAGTCACATACGCGTTTAATATAAGCGACTGACGCTTTGTCAACCGTCATGCGATGCGACAGGCGTGCGAGCAAATTTACGAAGTACGCTTGTACTTTAAGGTCGAAGTGCTCCCCTGCGCACGCTCGCAAAGAGACCAATCGGGAATTTTTACCATAAGTAGGCAATGAAACTTAAGCGGGTGGTTGTAATCAACGAATCCGGGTTAATCAACACACAGTTAAGTTAACTTCACGATCATTCGCTGAGTGTGCGTGTAATGTTGGAAAAAGTTCTACACACACTACCGTTGAGTGGAGCGCCAAAGAGCGTAGCGTAAGCATACAGATAAGCATTAACTGACTGCGGTCAAAGTTTGCTCAGTTTTTGTTATTAACGCTATTGTTATTGTTGCGTTTTATTACTACTGCGAGCGTCGCCGCATAATGGTTATAATTCTGAAATAAATTTGTTGAAAACAAGGCAAGCGCGCTCAGTCACAAACGATCCTACGACGCGCATCACTGAACGCGGAAAGCTTACGCGCAGTGAACGAACGAAACGAAATACAAAAACAGAGTTGCAAATAAATATTTTTTTGTCAAAAATTAAAGCAATTAGAAGAACGAAACAACAAAATAAGCAGCAGAGTTTACAGTAACAATTAAAGTGTTTTAAAAAGCTTCGCAACCAAAGCTATATAGCGTTAACTGAAAGTCGCGCAACGAGTAAAATCAAACTAGCTAAGTTACTTGTACGTAACAAGCTCTCAAGCCAGCAGTTGTCCTTTCCAGACGCCTGAAATCAACAGGTGCTGCTCACTTAAACGCAAATTTCGTATATACAATCAATTCACAGCGCCATGAAAGGCAATAGACTCACCACGCACGATCGCCGGTTTCTACGCAGCATATTGACCGATTTGATCATCTTTATTGTGCTCGGCATACCGATATTGATATGCGAGTTTGTCATCGAGCCTTTTCGTCGCGGCTTCTTCTGTGACGATGAAACGATACGTTATCCTTTTCGCCCGAATACGATAACCACCGTTACGCTCGCTATAATTATCTTGGTCGTGCCGGCGATTATTCTGCTTTTAGTCGAATTAACGCTCTTCTATCGTTGCGATCGCATACGTGAGACGGTGCTGCTGCTCGGCTACAAGGTGCCTGCATGGCTTTTGGAATTCGCGAAACATGCGCTCTACTTTACATTCGGTGGCCTACTAACACTCGCAGCGACGGAGGTGGGCAAGTTCACAATTGGACGTTTGCGTCCACATTTCATCAGCGTATGTCAGCCACAGTTGAGCGACGGCAGCAATTGTGAGTCGCCACAGAATCGGCATCGCTACATTGAGAATTACACTTGTGTAAGCAGCGGCTATACGTTGGGAGACGTGTGGGAGGCGCGTTTGTCCTTTCCAAGTGGTCACTCAAGCTTGAGTTTCTTCGCGCTCACTTACATCGCTATTTATCTGCAGTACAAAATCACCTGGCGTGGTTCGAAATTGACACGGCATTTTCTGCAGTTCACACTGGTAATGTTGGCTTGGTTCACGGCGCTGTCGCGCATCATGGACAATTGGCATCACTGGTCAGATGTGCTATGCGGGAGTGTTTTGGGTTTTGCAATGGCGCTAATTACCGCCCGTTATATTACAAAGGAATTCAAGACGCCACAGTCGTGTTTGCGTGTGCAGCTGCCGAGGCAGGACACGTGTACGACGCTGAACGAGATCGTACCGACGCCACCACCGTATACGGTGGGACTTGGCGTCGATGATAGCGTACCGTCGCTGCATCGAGAGAGCAATGGCGGTAGCACGCGCAGCTTCAGTAATGATCAGTATTGCACGAAAGTGTGACTTTCAGGGGTGACAGTAGGGAAGGAGAGTAATTTAACTTAAAATGTGATAGTTACTAATTAAGTGGTTGAAATATTGTAAAATGCTGATTATGCTAAGTGGTAATTATGGAACAAGAAACGTGTAAATACTTGAAAAATTAAAGGCAGATATAATGTAAGTGGGGACAGTTTTAAAAACTAAAGTGTAATGCTAGCGTCTCATGCGATGCAATTCCTAATATTGATTATATTATATATATAATATGTGGGCAGTTTTGCGGTATTAAAAAGTGAGAACAGTTTGCAAAGTACGATGAAACGCAGATTCCCGCTTACTATTCAAGTTGGAAAGCTTCAAACGGGACGCAATTATTTTACGTAATTAGTGTTGTTATTGTCTTTTTCGGCCTTTTTGTACAAATAAGTAAATTTTTGTCATATAATAAAAAAAATTTTGTCATAGCATAAAAGTCGAAGGTTGCAAACCAGATATTGCCAAACTGGGAACAGTTCAAAATCAGCGAAAAGAAGTTGCAGCAAGCTAAAAATATATACAGAGTTTTTTCGAAGAAAAACCTTTTTAAAACTGAGAACACTTTAAAATTTGCTGAGCACAGTTACATTGCAAGGGCAGCTTTTACAATAATGAAAATAAAATACGGACAAATATGTTAGTAAAACCAAAGATCTTATAAATTTTAAGAAAAAAAACTTGTTAATTCAAAATAAGTTTTTTATAAAAATTTAAGCAAAAATTAATAAATTTATTCACAACTTTTAAGAAAAAAATATTAACGCAACTACATATTCTATTGCAGAAAACAGATTTGTATGCCATTGCATATATTTAACCAAAATATATACACTGTTTCAATTGAGAAAATTATATTTGTTATTAAGTTAAAATTTATTTACAAATGTATTCCTAATTTTTGCCGTCTCAGTATCAGTTCCGCGTAAATTTGCGTGTTTACTTGCGTAGTTTTTATGATATATAGCTTTGAGAACTTATTAATGTAGATTGCGATTCAGTGTAAATTAACCGTTATGTGGTTATTTATAAAATTACGTTTTAAGTAATTGTTTAAAAATAAAGAAAAAACAAATGAAATTTCATGATTTTTATAATACACTGGAACAACAAATTTTGTGTATATTTAAGCAACAGCTTAAAAGTCGAACTGGTAAAATTTTTGGACGGAGAACAACCTTGGCAATTTCGCTCGGGAAGTTGCGTCATGGTAAATAAGGAGGAGGGGTGTGCACTCTCAATTCGATTTAAGTAAACAAAATTTTGATAAAATATTTTTTTTTTTGTACAATAGCGCTTACACAGATTGTTTTTTTAGAACATATTAAACAGCTAAGCTAGTTAGATGCAAAACGTTTCCGGCGATAGCTTTGCCTATAACGAAAAAAAACTCTACGAATATATTTCATACTTGAAAGCGAAATTTTAAAAATAACCCATTCACTAGAGACTCCACCGGAATTACACAAAACGAGCAAATAATGATTTACAAATACAAAAAATAAATAACAAAGCAACAGCAGTTAATATGCCAGCATTGTTTGCCTGCGCTTAGCAACCACATTACGATATGACGATGCCTCATACTTCAGATGGCAATCAGGTGAATCATTCTGATTATAAAACTTTACATTCCAATGCGTTTCACGCCTAGTGCCGTTTAGCATATATCTTTTATGTATGTGTGTTAATGCAAATGTTTTCGCTTTAGTGTACTAGAACTAAGACTGTATAAAAAATAACTAGTTAGTAGCCAGTTTGATGGTAGTGAGTGTAATTGGAAAAAGGGTAACAGTAGGCATATGCTGAATTTTTTAATAGCAATAATTTATAGATAAATTTGTAATGTAGTCTGTTAGGAACTAGTTCTGATATGATGAAATTTGGTGACTTAACTTATTTTCTGTATTTCAGAATTTTTGTATTTGTAGCTATTTCAGAATTTTATGCAAACAGGTCTATATTTAAACATGTCACAAGTACATATACATATGTATATGTCAGTACATACATGTGCATATACAAGTATATACATGACATACCTGAGGCTTGTTTCTCACACTTCGGCTACCTGTCTACTTTAACAAAGAAGTTTCAACACACATCTCCAGGAATGTGCGTAACTTTTGTGAGTGGAACAATCAGGCATTTATACATTGGTGTACAAAAACAATAATCTTTTATAGCGACATCAATTTCCTATTATATTTCGATTTAAACATTAATGAGTTTACGTTATACTATTCTATATATTATTTGCTAAATGCGAAAAGGTAGCAGCCTTGGGAATTGTATTATTTACCTATCGTAAATCTAGAAGTAGTTTAGAAACTATTCGTACAGCATTTTATTAAAAAGAAAATGTTAAGGTTATTGTGTAGGAAGTTCATATACCATACATAATCTTACACTCCAGAGGGCAACATGCATAACTGTGGTGAGTAAAAATTGATTGACAGTTTCGAATTGGACGACCACATAATTCGAAAAATTCAAAAATGCCCTTATATTCACTAAGAAAAACACTCCTTCGAATGCTCAGCAATAAGAAGTATTGGTAAAATATTATATGTGCCGAATACCCTGGTCGTACTGAAATACTGGGTTGATGCGTGACAGAGTTGAAGTAAACTCTCATAACACTTCGCTTTTAACAAAGATCTGTACATACTTGTTATCTTGCTATGAAGAATCTATCAGATATTAAACTGACAAGGAAAAATAATTAGTTTTGATTGTAATTGTAAGGCCAAGAAGCGATAATCTTAACGGCCAAAAATTAGAACATAACAGGGAAGGACAAATAACTAAATATATATTGAACAAAAAACACGCTGCTAGCAGAAATCAGTAGTTAAGGTTAGTAATTGTATGTATATGTATGTATAATTCATGCTTTTGCAAAGCAAATGCTGTTAAGGTGCAATAATACGCACGTTTTCTTTCTTGAAAATAATCCACATGCAGGCATAGAAATTTTATGCCGCAAGCATGACAAGAAACACTTTATGCGTCACAACATTTACCTGCGCTGGAGAATGAGTTTCCTGTGCTATAAAGTGATCTCAACTCGTGTACCTTAAAGATGTGCTAACAGGCTGCTGACTCAGCTCATGAATTCTGTTGTAAGCGCTGCTTTTACCTGGAGTTTAATCTCTTATGCATTTCTTATACAAAAAACCTTTTAAAGGTGTTCCTTGCATCATCTTCATAAAATAAAATGTGTTTAAAATTTTTCTTTGCACTTCTAGAATTCTCAACTACCTCATATATTCCTACACTCAAATGCTTTCATTTTGTAGTCTAAAATTACCTTGACTTCTCTTCAGTTGTCGAATAAATCTTTCGCCTTTTACTAAAGATTTCCGTGGAGAGGAGTAATTAATGGGTCTAACGGAATTTTTGTCAAAGGTTCAACTTTTCTTTCGAGATATTGTTGGACCGTTAATTAATACATAAAAATTATGGAATAGTATAAACTAAACCTGAAAATGTCTAAAATAAGCTGCTTGAGTAGACCAAAATGTACTGATTTTCTCTTATTTATTTTAGAGCCGTTGAATCTACATATGTATAACTAAAATTAGTTTAATTAAAATTTATTATTCACGCCTCAATTGTTTTTCTCGAACATTTTTTAAATAATTTTCCGTACTATGAGTTTCAATTCTAACGTACATGTACGTATATGTGTGCATATGGAAATGTCTCTCCCAGTCCTCTTATGCTTAACCACCATTCCACAAAACATTTGACAGCTCCGCATGCAATTATTCATCTTCAGTTGTCGCCGCTCATTGTCACTCAACTGCCAAGCTGGCATAATAAAGTCGGTTGGTGTATATCAGTAGACCCCTGTGGTGTAAACTATACTCACAAACACACATTCCATATGACTACTGTGTGTAGAGAGGCACAGAAGTGCACTGCCATCATTATCATTTCAGTTGGACTTGTATGCCAAGCGTCCATTTCAATTGGATTTCGTATTCAATTCAATTACAAATTGATTTATTATTGCGGACAACCACCAGCCGGGTTGGTTGCTGGTTTGTGCAACAAAACCCTTGAATTTACTTGCATTAAATAAGACATTAGAGTGGTAAGCAGGTAAACACCAGTAATGAAGCGCCAAGTTGTGTGTAGATATTACTTTGCGCATGCGCATGCATTCCATGAACAAAGCGTTTATTAGTTAGATGTCATTCATCTGAGAATCCCTATTGTGTTCAGCGGGTGGTCAAGATACCGTACGCTAACTAATTTGATAGGAAAAATGTTTTGCGTGTTAAATTTATTGTTGCCACATTTGTACTAAATTTCATTTTAAAGAGGCTGGTGGCTATTTAATTAATAGTTTTAGGTTAGTAAGATTGAAATATATTATTGCTACCGAAAAATTTATTTGATATATTGCTTATGGAGTAATTAATAACATATTCTTCAACAGTGCTACTGAGAGTCTTGTTAATTTTATGATCAGATAATTTTATAAATATAAAACATCGAAACTGCCAGCTCATTAGTTAAAAGTTTAATACTAATTTGTAGTGTGCAATTTATTCATAATCGGCCCAACTATACCTCGAAAGGAAAGTGGAGCCTTTAACAAAAATTCCGTTAGACCCATTAATTACTCCTCTCCACGGAAATCTTTAGTAAAAGGCGAAAGATTTATTCGACAACTGAAGAGAAGTCAAGGTAATTTTACACTACAAAAAGGAAAGCATATAAGTGAAGAAACAGCTGAAGTGGTTGAGAATTATTGAAGTGTAAATGAAAATGCTTAACAAATATTCTCTCTAAGGATCACTTAAGGCTCACATTTGAAAGTTTTTTTTGTGTAAGATGCAAAAAATATAGAAATCGAGTTAAAGGTAGCGCTGACAGCACGATTCATAAGCACATAGCATAGCTTAAGGAGATGAGAGATGTTGAAATTATTTTAAAGCAGAAGAAACTCATTCACCGGCGCAGGTATATACTTATTTAGTGGCATATAGGATTGCGAATTTTTTAATTCAAAACATTTTAATTAGAAATTAAATTTTTAATATTTTATTCCAAGATGTTTGGGAGTAAAAATTACATTTTAATTTTTTGAAATCCGATGTTGGGGATTAATTTTTTAATACGAGATATTTGGGCTTAAAAATAGAAAAATTATTTTTTTGATTTGAATGAACGTCGAAAAAAGTTAATTCTAAAACATTTTGTTTTTAATTCTTAATTACATGCTTGAGTTTAAATTTTTCCGTGTTATTTTTTAATCGGTTTCTGGGATTAAGAACTTGTTTTCATATTTAAACTCGTATGTAGTATTAATTTTTTTTTTTCAACCGGTATATGGGATTACATTTTTTTATTTTTTAAACCGGTATGTGGAATTAAAATTCTTTTTTGTTTTTTGGTATCACAAAATAAAAAAAATTTTATTCAAATGTTAATTTAATTATTTTATGCATTATTTGCAACCTTGCTTGCATATTGCAATTGTTCTTATACTTGCGGCATGATATTTCTATAACTTCTGTAAATTAGGTTCTACTAAAATACTTAACTAAACTTGCGTTTAACTCTTAACTTTAATTTCTTCTTCTAACCCCCATCTTATTCTTCAACTATGTTTAGTTAAAAGTTTTTTGGTAAACAAGCCAGCAAACGTATAGAATGTTAATTCTGAGAATCCAAGCGGTATTTTCTACCACAAATTATCAAAATTTACCCAACAAATCGTCATAAAGTAATTTAAATTTAAAGGAGTTTGCTCGCTTCTGAAATATGGCGCAGTATAATAAATTAATTTAAGCACTCCGCACAGTAAATATTTTGAACAGCATTTTCCACACACCAGACATATTCGCTTCAAAGTGCTTTTTGTCACAGCGTGAAATATTTCTCGCGCATAAGTCATAACGCCTTCAACTTTTTATGTGCTGTTATGTTGGCCTACGACTTTAATACGCCCATATATCTTGGCCAAATTGTGTGCGTTTGCAGAAAAAACTGACTGCCGGAGTTAATCTCTGCGATGTTGCGAAAATAAAAACATATAGATAATAAAAACTTAAATGTTTGCTGTTTAAAAAAGAGATAACAATGTGGAACAATGCAAATAAATAATTGTATTGGGTGGAGTACATATTTTTATACCCAACGCATAAACAATAACATTAACGGTGGCAGCTTTGAGATTTTGCGTGTGAAGTAAAGTATATTCTAATGACGGTTTTCGCAGTATTTGAGGGTAGTTGCGATTAATTATAAATAGTCAGAAATTGACATAAACTTTTGGCAATTTTTTTGCGTTCGATATAAGAAGCGATTACTATCACGAAGTGCTAAATTTTTCACATACATATATACATATATATATGGTATTTGTGTATGTAATTAAAAAACACTGGATGCTACTGCTCTTTTTCATATACATATGCAAATCTAAACAAATTACATAACGTTGTTGAAATATATTTTAAAACTAAGCTCAAGCCAACCTTTAGAGCTCATAAATTATGTGTGCACACCTGGGCTTGGCGAATTCAGGTAGATTATTAGTAATACTTTTTGATTATTAAGCATTTATGAAGAGGAACACAACTTAAAGCTAAAAATATCTTTGCATTTATGTACCATTAGATATGCATGTACATACTATAAATTATATATAAAGCGAAATTTTTGGATGTAATTCTTAAAATAGGAATTTTGTTATGTTCCATATGCAATTATGAGTCACGAAATTCTACTTAAAGATTAGCTTCTCTAAAAATATGGAATTTTTATGTCAAGAGATATTAATTTCTAAATATTTCCTAAAATCGACTAAAAATGTAGCACATTGAGCATTAAGCATAAATATTAAGGCGCAAAGTCATCTCTCGCAGGTGGTTAAAGTAATATCTTAGAAGTCAGACGCGCATATATACATCAATAAATTCGGCTGATTCAGAACGAGCGATCACATTTAAACAATTTAAATCAAGTGCTATATATACCAAATCGCTTACCAAATTATTCATTCATATATGGCACTTTGAAAGGAAATGAGGTAAGCACCGCGACCTGGGTTGTATTGTATACTCTACCATGGCACTTACCTGTAAATATAAAAAATATATATTATATAATTGGATAATATTTTATATAGCTATCATAAAATTAAGTGTATATTAAAAAACATTTTTAGCACTTTGCAGTAAAGGTTTATATTCAATATAAAACCATACATATATATATCGAATATATACATATGCATTTGAGAATATTCTCCGAAAATTGAAATTTGTTGCGACATATAGTTTTGGAACTGTGAGCGCATTTGCCAGAATTTTTCAACTTAGCGTTACCGGCTTCCAAAACATTAAAGGATTTTTTTTTGTTTTTTGAAACACTATTTTTAGAGTCGGTGAGGAAAGTTTTTCCGAAACGGTTGAAACGATCAACTTGAAATTTCGAAGCGAGCTTCAAAGCTTTATCTGTCATGAAATGTTTAGAGGAATAAGAGTTTTAGTAATAACTTCGATTTTTAAACCGCTTTGAAATGTAATTTTTTTCACAATAAACGACTTTTTTTTGGGAAGCCGTTATTAAAATGTTTTCTAGTTCTTCGATCTAGACCTGTATTTGTCTATGGTAATAGCACTTCGTGTTGGTTTTTGCATTTCAGATAGTTTGAAACAAAAAAATCTTTCTCATCGCCAGAAATCTTTTTTCCGGGCTTCTCCTGGAGATCGACTACGCGATCAAGGGAGTCCAAAATTTTTCAAAATTGATTGTCGGTAATAAAAGTATACTAACTTTTGAAAATTATTTTTTTTTTGTTGTTTATTATTAAATAAATTTCTCTACAAATAAAAATTCGCAAAAACGAAATTTTTCTGCAAGTAGATATAACGCCTTAAATAATTTAAATGAACTTAGGCAATCCAAAAATATGCTTTGAAAGTCAAGTCGGATTGAACTAGAGTCGGGCAGTGAATCGAAAACACATTTATGAGAGTAATTTCGGTGCGATAACATAGCAATATTTTTCTTTGGGCGAACAGAGAGGAAATTAAAACGGGAAGTAGAATGGCGGAAGGTAGAATGTGCTTAGTGTAATCAAAAATTACGTTAGTACCATAATTCTGAGATAAAATTACAGAACAATGTATCTCAAGATGAATTGTACGTGGGTATAATGTAAGAGAATAATTACAGGAACTCGGCTGTCGCTTAAAAATCTATGGCAATCAATATAAAGTACAAAAATCACTTTTAAACATATTATTTACATTTAAAATTATTCATATTCGGTTGCCGGTTGCTAAAACTATTGTAGTTAACAATTTTTAACTAAGCAACAAACTGCTGCAGCGGCGCTCAATTTAGGAAAAAATTTGAAAGGTTGATACCAGATCATATATGAACATTAACTAAGCCAACTTTGGTTGTTTGGTAACATATTCCTAGAAAACCTACACGTTTAAGAGAAAATGCTATTTCAGAGAGTTAAGGAAATTCATTACCGGATTTTCGAGAAGTGTTTTGGAAGGCTTTTTATGCAGTTCATAGCGTTGAGACATATTCTCAAACAGACTAAAAGTAAGTTTAAATACGAGATGCTCACTCAGCCAAGATTTGAATTCTGTGCTCTCTGCTGGTAACGGACTTGGACACACACGCCGTCGTTATATTCTACAGCTCAGCTTTATCTACCGATGAATTAGAATCCTCACAGACAGTATCTAAAATACTTTCCAAGCTACTCACGGTCCACACCTTTCTATACTCGTACATATTTTTTCTGCTTTATTTTCTTATTTTTATTTGCTTCAACTATAGCTGTCCTGCAATGATGTCAACTCTACTAAATAACTACAAGATGCATACGCCGCCTGTTCGCACAATTTATTTTCATTATTTATCTGCCGATTTATCTAACAATATAAACTAATTTAAATTCACCTCACGCAGTGATAAAATATATATTTTCCTTATTATTTTCAGGCAAATTTTGCACATCATCAATTTAATTAGCTGGCGTTGATAATGTTGTTGTCACCTTTATTGCAACAACAGCATGCTGCATGGCATAGTGGCGACAAGGCTTTTGCTGCAACATCATTTGCATCTGTTGAACTGCTAAGTAGAATGCGATGTTTCGAATGCGACGTGCTACGGCATAAAGTAGCAGCAACAACAAAAAATATGTAAGAAACAACATACCAGGAAGGATACGACACCAAGTCAATAAAGAGGCAGCAGCAACAAAAAATTGACACTCAGTATTGAAATAAATGAAAGATGAAAAGCGCAAAAATGAGCAGCAACAATAACAAATAACAACAACAGCAACAAAAACAACGTCGTGTCGCTGAAAAGTTGCAAGTTGCAAGTTGCACGCTGCAACTGCCAATTTCCAAAGACAAATTGATTTATGTACAGGACCATAATAGCTCGACGACGGGAGCGAGTCACGCAAATTGCCAGCAGAAAATGTTCAAAATTCATTGCCATTGAATTGACAGCGGATTGAAGTGGATAAGGAAAAAAGAGAAGAAGGAGGGCGAAAAAATAAACGAAATCACGTCGCAAGACATGAAACAGATATTAGTTAAGGTGAACGAAATAGCGCAAGCAAAAAACAGCAAATAAATGACGCGCCAGAGTGGGCAGTAAGTGCGGGGCGTGTGTATGGGTGACGGTGGACCGATAGCGTGT